AGTAACCACTTAATCATCTTTAAACTACACACTACTGATCCATCAAGTAACCACTTTGTTTTCCATAATTTTGCACACTATTTTGCATTAATTCAATTCAAAGTTGTACTTTGCAATATGTGGAACTTCCCAAGTCACTTTTTAGTCCAATGTAGTTAAAACATTTTCTAACTCTGAAAACACATCTCTGTATGTCACTTACTTGTACTCCATGTTTTGTGTTCTGCATGCCCACTGTTTGGAACGGATGTCTTGTTTTTAATTAGATCAGCTAAAACTACGTATTGACATCATGTGTGTATGGATACTGTGATACATTTGGCTCTTTATCTTTTTCCCTCTGTCCCTCTCTGTCTCCTTTACATTGTAGATATGAGCCTCAGATGGATATTCCCACTGATGTTGATACAGAGTCAGACAGAATATTCTTCATCAAGGCTGTGGCCCAGTTTATGGTGATGTACTTTCTTGACTTCATACAGACTGCACAGATTACCCTTTGCTCGTTGTTAGTCAGTCTGTCTTAAACGCTGTCTCACTTGGTTTCAGGCAACAAAGGCTCACATCAAGTTGAACACCAAGCGCCTCTACCAGGCTGATGGCTACGCAGTGAAAGAGATGCTGAAGATCACTTCAGTGCTGTACAGCGCTATGAAGACCAAGCAGATGGCGCTGGGAGACAGAACCGAGGAGGACAACAGCAAGTTGAAGTTCGACCTCGGCTCTCGGGTAAGATGCGATATTCACACAATGTTCACATATGTATCTACATATGTGTGTATGTTAGTGTATCCTTAGTCCTTTTTAGTTAAGTCAGTGTATGGAAACTACAACAGAGAAAAGGATATATTGTCTAAATTTAGCAGATGTGAATGTTCCCCGCAATTAGGGTGTTTTTTATTAACTTTTTTATTGCAATACCTGACTTGCACAACATCTAGTTGGTCACTGTAAGTCTGACCCACATGCATGTAGACTCTCCGAATAAAACAGTCAAAATGATATGTTTGACTTAACAACCTCATGCTATTTATATTTCCTTTTTTTCAGCCTTCTATTCCATTTAGAATTTTCTATTATGAAATCCAGAGTGGAAGAGAGAACCTTGTGTCGCTGATTAGCTCTCACTCTCGCTTTACTCTAGATTTCCGATCTCAAAGCAGCTCGGCAGCTGGCATCTGAGGTCACATCTAAAGGAGCATCTCTGTATGATTTACTGGGAAAAGAAGTGGACCTAAGGGTGAGGGAAAACGGATAACAACAGATACACATGCTGGTTTCACTTTACCTTGATCTCGAGTCCTCACAATACATGACAATGTGGCTGTTTCTCTTCATTCATCAAGTAACTTTTGAACCCTAAGCTATTACTCTGTGAGTGCTGATGAGGCTGGTAGCATGATGGGGCTTTGTTTTTTCAGTGAAAGTGATGCAGGTGATGACTCTGCTGTGTTATGTTTTCAATGTTGCCACAGGAAATGAGAACTGCGTCCATCGCCAGACCTCTGGAGATCAATGAGACTGATAAGGCCCTGAGAGCTGCCATCAAGGAGGTTTTGGTATGTATTCATCCTGACAATCCACAAAGTTTTTAACTATGAAAAGGCACTGAATCTGCCGCCATGCCTTTTGTGTTCATTGTCAAGGAAAGTGTGGAGAAGACGAAAGACATGCTGAGCAACGTTGTTTCTGATGAAACCAGTCTGGATGCTAAGATAGAAAAGAAGAAGCAGGAGCAGGAGAGGAATCGGAAGAGGCTCCAGACACTGCAGAGTGTCAGGTCAGTTCACTACCCTGATAGCTAGCAGACATGCTCAATGACGGCAATGATTCCCTGGTGCCTTTGGCAAATTCAAACAAAACATAAGAGTGAATGTGAGCTACTTTCTTTTGTTGTTGAATTATTTGTACTCTTTGCTCGAACGTTTAGCCAGTTTTCTTTCTTCGACTTGCACCAAATCTTTAAATACAACTTTGACTGACAAGTAAATGTGTGCTCATCCCGTAAGGGCTTGTTTTTTGTTGGTCACTGACTTTTTTTTTTTAGGCCGGCCTTCATGGATGAATATGAAAAGATTGAGGAAGATCTGCAGAAGCAATATGAAACCTATGTGGAGAAGTTCAGGAACCTCTGCTTCCTGGAGTCTCAGCTGGATGAATACCATAAAATGGAGCAGGAGAGGTTTGAGGTGTGTGTCTGTCTGCTCTCATATTTTGTACTTGCTTAAACCACAGAGCATAATTGAAAGGAGAGTGACCTCTTGTAAGAGCTATAATAATAATAATAATAATAATAATAATAATAATTCCATGGCCTGTAATGATGAGAGATAAGACAATACTCTTCATAAACATAAATCGGAGGAACTCAGACCCTCAATGGCGTGGATGGAGGAGAATAGAGTCGGCCCTCTTTATGCTGTCTATATGTGGCTCAGGAAGTAGAGCGGGTCGTCCAGTAACCGGCAGTTTGATCCCCGGGCTTCTCCAGTCTGCATGTTGAATTGTCCTTGGGCAAGATACTGAACCCACAATTTCTACCGAAGGCTGTGACATCGGTGTGTGAGTGTATGTGAATGAGCATTCGATTAGATCCTTTGGCACCTTGTATGGCCGCCTCTGCCATCAGTGTACAAATGTGTATGTGAATGGGTGAATGTCGGCATGCAGTGTAAAGAGCTTTGAATGGTCAGAATACTAGAAAAGCACTATATACTGTAAATGCAAGTCCATATAGATTGTGCTGTTCTTTCCACTACAGGAGGCTGAAAACACACTCAGGATGATGCAGGACGTACTGAGGGAGGAGGAGGAGAGGGATCTGACGAGGAGCTCCTGTGAGACAACCAATTACAGACCGTTGAAGCAAAGCAATAGTCACATAATCTCAACCCTTTGTATGATCTCACACACTTGTTTTCTGCAGTGAAAGATGAGGATTCTGACATGGACGTTCCAGAGGACGACGGTTCAGACAGCGACATGGAAGAGTGTCGACCTTCTAAGCCACGGCCCGCACGAAACGGCGTCATGGCAGGTACACGCACAAGGAATAGTCCTTTTTATGATCCCCTATTAGTTGCTTGGAAAAAAAAATGCTAAGACAAAATTTTGGTTTTCAAAATGAAATGCTTTATCTATCAAAACTTATCATCAAACATGATCTGTGTTGCCCCCTTTTTGCACCACAGGAAGAGGAGCTCGATTCATCGGGAACATGCAGGGCGGGGATAGTGATGAGGTTAGTTTTGTCAAAGCAAAATCAATACAATATTCCTTGTTTCACCATCTTAAGTTAAACCTTATGTGGCGAGCATCTTTTTATTTTGAAGATGTTTTTGCTGAGTTTTCTCCCAGTGGCCCTAGATGGCATTCTCTGTGCTGTCTCTCCTTCATTTTTAGCCGACTACCCTGTGCACCACCAGCTCTGATCAATTTCAAATCCCCTTTGGGTTTAAATCTTGTACTCTGTTCCATCTCTTACCTTTTGACTTTCATCCACTTGTATTTTAAAAGCCCTCTTTAGCTGTGTCCAGAAAGTCAGTCCCTCGTGCCAAAAAACAACGGAAAGGAAAGGTTTGTGCAGGACTGGGATCTAGTTCACTCCTTGTTCCTCTGTGTTTCTAAAGGAAAAATCTATTCTCAAATTTTCTATAGTTTTTGAACATAGGTGCAGATGTTTTTAACAGTTGGAATAGATTTTTCCTTTAAATGAGGTCAATTGTTTATCTGGTCTGTGTAGTTATCTAGCTCCAGGTGGACATGTCCCAGTTCAATGATTTTCATCAAATCAGTTCTGGACTGGCCGTGTTCTCATTACAGCCCAAGAGTTGATTCCATGATTAGATCCGTTTTCGTGAGACGGTAGCTGGTTCAATGTTTAGTTAGAATGAGAATGTGTCCATCCCCGTTGTAGTTCCACATTGTGTGTTGAATAATTGTCCAGTAATCAGTGACTGGACTCTGAACACTGAAATAGTTATTATGTGGACCTGCCTGCCTGCTGTTTCAGACTGAAGACAGCGAGATTGATGTGGATGAGGATGATGAGGAAGATGAAGGCGAGGAGGAGGAGAGCAAAGATTTGGAGGATGACAGTCTGGAGGGCCCAGTGTCCAGGGGTGCCCGCCCTTCCAAGGGGGGCATGAGACCAACTTTGCTGGAGGAGAGCGACAATGACTTCTGAGAGAATACAGATGAGCTTCAGCTGTTTCTGTGTACTTCTGAGAGATATGCACTAATTATTATGTTCCATCTTGTCATTTTGCAACATGAAATCAATATAGTTCCTTTTTATATTTGTGTAAAGTGTTTACCATAATAAAATATTTACAATTTAATATCTCTTCTGTGTCCCTTGATTCAAGTATGACAGCAGCATAAAATGTTCTTGTCCTAAGAGTCAATCAGTCAGATACTGAGACTGAGTATTTAAATTGTGTGCAATTTTATAGTTTATAATCCACTCCATTTAAGAAGACAACACTACTTCTAACTCAGTTTTACTTTGACAAGCAGTAAACTATTACTTTTATTCTGTTTCACATCCTGAATATATAGATGGAAATTCCTGACAGAGGAAGAACATCAATCAAAAATGGAAAAAGAATGAAGTGACTTCCTAATTAAGGATAATGAGGATAATAATGCCTTGTTACATTTCCCTAAATTAATATACGTAATTGGATGAAATTCACATTTCTTGACATTTAGATAAAAATGTAACACGTGGCACACTTGTATAGTATTTATCCAAAAGCTAAAGAGGAATTTAAAGGACAGTGTTATAAACTTGAAAGACTTCATCAAGCCCATAGATCTAGCCCTTTTACAGTATCTCCTTATATCATTTGGGACTTTTAGTTGTATTTAAAAAAAAATATTCAACGTGTTGTTTGACGTTTTAGAGAACATTTTCAAACAATTTGTCTTTCTCATTACCAGAAAAAAAGTATATATATATATATATATATTTATTTTTTTACGATATGACAACAATAGGAGACGCTACGTCATCAGAGTGCGCCCTGGTTTCAGAGGCGGCAGATGCCTCTTCGAAATAACAGCCAACAGTCGTCTACTTGCGACCTGTTTATATTCTCATACTGGTATGAAACCGTGTGTATGCTTTGTGTGTTTTGGTCACTATGCTCTCCGCTACATTTTAGTAAAATTGAAATAGGGAATGACCGGTTTTTTGACAAGCAAAGCAGTCTTGTGTATGAGGCTAACATCAGCTAGTTATGGCTAACTAACGTTAGCTAACGTTACACTGTGAAGCAAAACAGTCATCTACCGGTAACAAGAATAATCAGCTAATAACTGGCTTCCGTTTTGTTACTTTATTAACAGGTTAAACCAAAATGATATAGTAAACGTTGGATGAACTGACGTTACCTATTCATCTAACGTTAATTATCCAAAAAGAACTGCTGCACACTACTCATAACATAAATACTGCATGTTGAACCATCACAGTTTCTACAACATGTAGGTGATGAACACTAAAAAGAAAAGTCTTTGACAAAAACAAATCTGTAGGAAAGGGTTTTGAATAATTGTAACGTTAAACTGGCTATATCTGTATTAAAATCAGCCTTGAAGACTATCTTGCTAGACAAACTCCTCATTGGTCTCTTGTCGTCTCTCAGCTGAAGAGGAGCTGTTGGGATGCCAAAGAAGTTCCAGGGCGAGAACTCCAAGGCGGCCACAGCCAAAGCCCGTAAGGCCGAGGTCAAGGCGGTGGCAGACGCCCGCAAGAAGCAACAGGAAGAGGATGCTTTGTGGCAAGAAACCGACAAACTTGTTCTCAAAAAAGGGCAGAGAAAGGTGAGCGCTCTCTTCCGTGTGATGTTCACATTTGGGAAATTTCATACTCGTGCTGCTTTACTTGGGCTTCAAGAATAGTTCAGTGATTGCATGTGTCACAATACATTTAGTGGCCAAACTACTTTGAGACAACGTGTTTTTTACGAAACAAAAGTCTGATGAGACAGCTTTCGGACTTTGCAGGATGACAAGGAGAAGAAGAGGCTCGAGCTTTTGGATAGGAAAAAGGAAAACCAGCGACTTCTGGATGAGGAGAGTTTGAGCATAAAAGGCAGAGCCCTGCGGGAGGCTGGACCTGGAGGAAAAGTGACTCGTGCCCAGATCGAGGAGGTGCTTCAGAACGAACTACAGCAACAGCAGGAGCAGGAGCTCCAGCCAAAAGGTCAATTCTGGGTTTAAGTTGACGACAGAAGTGTGCTTAGAATAAAGACAACACGAGTGGAGATGCAATCCAGCAGCTTTGGCTGTGTTGGGGATCAAATCAGTACATTTTTTTTACCATCAAATACAATTTCTTCCCACAGAAAAGAGCCATCTGGAGATCCCACTGGAAGAGAACGTGAACAAAATTATACTTGAAGAAGGAGCCGTGGAAGCCAGAACAATAGAAGATGCCATCTCTGTGCTCAGGTACCACTTGTACTGTGTGTGTGACATCCTGTTGTCCTTGTGATTTGTCTGATGCTGATTTGAATTAAGTTTATTTAGGCCTATAAAACAACAATGATGCCTTGTGAATGTTAAGCCATCATTCCGCCCTCTCTTCCCGTCCTCCAGCGCGGGGCCTGAGGACGTGGACCACCACCCGGAGCGGAGGATGAAAGCAGCATTTGCTGCCTTTGAGGAGGCTAACATGCCTCGCCTAAAACAGGAGAACCCTAACATGAGGCTGTCGCAGCTGAAGCAACAGTTGAAGAAGGAGTGGATGAAGTCGCCAGAGAACCCCCTGAACCAACGCTTTTCCACCTACAACTTAAAGTGAATGCACTCTTTACCCCCCCCGATAACTCAATTTGAAAACTGTCTGCCTATGAACATAGGAGACATTGAAAAAATCGAATAATTTAATTTAAAAGTGGGTGTTGCTATTGAGAATTTTACCCGTTACCTCCGAAGCCAGACGACTCAGCTTTGTTGTTCCATTCACTAGAAAGGAGAAGCTCCTTTTCCCCTATCAAGGTCATAATAACATCATTATTTGAAGCACTTCTGGGGAGGTGGGAAGTCGGATGTTTTGAGAGAAACTTATTAAAGTTCACCACTCGATCATCACCATCTCTTGTTGCTTTCTATTCACAAATCAAGTCACACACTGAAATCACCGCCGCTGCTGTGAGATGGAGTTACATGATTCAGACTTCACTATTCATTCATGAAGATAGTTGTCATTTTGTGTCCGGGGTAAACAATGCTCACCAGCAAACATCACAGCTGCCTTTAAAATAGCGGTGGTTGCAAATCACTCGTTTTCTTTCCTCTTTTTATTACTTTGAGAAGTTACTAACCAGTTTCTTCAAGTGAGTTGTTTGTTTAATTAGCAAAATAGTTTGCATTGAACACCAAAGCCACTGGATTAAGACTCAAAATGCTGACGCACAAGTATTTCAAGTACGAATGGTCCATTGGCTATGAAGCCTTGTGAACGTCTGACGAGATAGTCTGCAGATGCCTCCTGTCCAGTATCTTTGGGCGTCATCCTCTGAAATATGTGCTCGGATCAGAATTGTTCATGTAGGTTCTAGTAAAATCCAAATGTGACACTTCATTCGGTGCTTCAAGTGAGAGGCCTGGTATATATACTCACTTCATTGCCTTTTAACTCAGCTGCAGAGAGAGAGAGAGAGAGAGAACTAATTCAGCCATGTTTAAAGGTCCACATATGCTCTATGATATTTTATTACAACAGAAAATAATTAGCATAAAGCCAAATGTGTCTCTGTAAGGTGAACAAAATGATAAAAACTAACCATCTCTAGATCCTAAACTGTAGCTGCGATTGTCCTCCCTTATCTTCTTTAGCAGATCCGTTGGCCTTTAGCCAGCAGTGACTTCAAGGTCCTCTGATCCTATCGTTGTAAATGGAAGGTGACCTCTGAAAAACGAGGACTCGGGTTGTGATCCAAACACTCGGAGCTGCATTGGTGCTGTGTTTAAAGTGTGGGCTCGTGCTTCAGTGTGCATGACTACAACAAACCTGTTTTCGACACTGCAACAGACCTGCCACGTGTGGAGTCGATCGGATGAGCGGTTGTCCAGAAACTCGAAGGACAGACGTGCACACAGACGGAGGCTCCTTCAATTCTGGTCCATTCCATTAAAACAAACATTTTAAATCCAGTTCATTCAAACAACAAAATGAATATATTACTTGTATTGAATAAATTGAATAAATTACTTGTTTTTTCGCATCCCTATCATTTGCAATTAATGTAGGATTTTGTTTTAGACCCGGCCATGTGTCATACCATAGTTATCGCTATTGAATTGCTTTTGCATTCAGTTATGTGGCCAGCAATGGTGTCCAGTGCTGCCGTTTGTCACAAAGGTTTTCTCCAGCACAGCAACATTCACGTACTGAACTGCTGAGGCAGCAAGCTTTAGGCTTTGTAGGTTTGTCCCGATGCCAGATTGAAAGACAGAAAACAAGAACAAAAACTGAGCTTTAGCTGTCTTAAATGCAAGCATAGAGGAAAAACAAGAAACTATTTAAAGTATCTGCAGTGTTATTTTGGAGTTGGGGGTTACCCAAACCATGATGCTCTTCAACAGGCCTGAACATTAAAGGGAAATGTATACAATTGTTGGGCTACATCTGAAGAGACTTTGCACTTGGCTTGATTAATTCAGAACCCGATTTTTTTAGAAAGGCCACGTTTGTCCAGCCAGGCTGTTGTGGCGGAGGAGATAAGAGCCTCTGCCAAGGCCTTTGAACCACAGAGCTTCAATGACATGTTCAACTGACCTTTCATTTTCCTTTTTGCATTGAAAGCGCCCAGTTCCTTTTCTTTCCCCTAGCAACCAATCAGTCCACTCCCAATTTATAGGGATTTCTTTGAGCTTGTGCGTGTGATGTTCCGCCTTAACGCTGGTCTGATGTTACAGGTTTTTTTTGTTTTTCTGCATCCTAACCGGTCGCTGCACCCTCACACTCCCTGACCATTTGCATTACAGCCCTTTACCAGGCCAGCTGCTGCTTCCCTTTTCTTTCTTCATGTTGAATTCTAATGATTACTTTCAAAGGAAAGCCGTCTCCAAAGCTCCTTGATCAAGTGTGTGTACTGGGAGGAGGCAAGCCGCTGTCCAGCACCCACTCAGGCTTCTCTTCTTCTCAACACTTCTGTTCTGCAAGTGGGACCGTTTGCTATTAGTAACCTGCTTTTTCAAGTTTGGAGAAACATAATTTGTGGAAGAACAAGGTAAGGATCATCAGTACTCGTCGGGCTTTGTACTTATACGCTATTTTTGTTTGTTATTGGGAAAATGATGAAAATTGAGATTTAAATTGCAGTTCTAGAGTTAAAGTGAAGAATAGGACCACCATTTAGAATAATCATATTGCACTCTGATGATGCTTTAATTGTAAAGCACGTTAAGATGAACAATTAGTTTTCATGCTCTTATCGTTCAGTATTTGCATCTACTCTCATTTCCTCAAGTTTATTTAAGAGTGAACACAGTTTTTATTTGCAGAATAACAATTTACGCATCTTTTTGGGCTGCGCTTTAGGAGTTAAACATCGTATGTATCATGTTGTGTCAGTCGTTCTGTGCATTGCATCAGGACGACATCTGTTATGAAAAAAGGATAAATTACCACTTTTCAGTGGTTCAAAAAAAGATAACAGGTCTTAGTTTCTGAGCCTTTTTCCCTGTTAAATTAATGAAATAAATGAATGAAATAAATAAATAGAACACAAAATTACATTAACTTCTTAAACCTTTATAGAGAGCAATTTAAGACTCATGAACAATAACTCTAAATTATGAATTTCTTTCCTCCAAAATAGTTCATTGATTTTTGAAACTGGTGAGTGATAATTCTTTGAGATTTCCATGTCGAGCAGGCTAAGTGGGGGTCACATCTGCTTTTGTCAGAATGCTTCACATTCATAACCAGCTGTACACACAATCTCAGATTAAGCAAATCATTGCTTTTACAACGATGATGATTTTGCTTTGAGTCAATACTCCCAACACAGGAGTGTGTGTGTTGTTAGTCAAACGACAGACTGTTATATTCACAGTTTAGGGACTAAGATCTTACAATACATTTTTTAAAACACCATTATTGAGGCGTAAGACAAAAAAAAAAGACAATGCTATAATTAGAATACTTTATTTCTGAAGCAAAATAACACTTCTTTCTATGTATTTTCTGTTGCCTGTGAAAACAACATCTTTAAAGGGCCTCAGAATTTAAGATGTTTCTATACTGCTTATTCCAGGATACTTCTGCAGCCCAGGCTTTATACCTTATGCTCATTTATGGGCGATGTTTGTAGCAAAAAAATGAGAAGGAAAAACATGAATTGTTGGATACTGTGTGCACATCATTCAACCGTAACATCCTGCATTCAAATGTATTTGAGGACTTTTGTTGCATGTCATCTTCATCTTTCTCATCTCTGTGAAAAAATGATTTGAGTGTGATCTCATTTCAGCTCTGCGGTGATGCCATGAGGTTGATTCTGGTTAAACCCACCAACGCAACGCGACGTCTTGACTCAACAGGTGAAGTCTTCCGTGATGGGGACCATGAGCATTGTACTGCAGGAGGTCCATCACCTCCGACAAAAACTCCTGAGGGGATGCGGGATCGATTCTTGGGTACCTCTGTGGAAGCATCTTCTTCCCCCCAGGAAACAAGTCTGTGCTGTGTTTCATCCTCACCCCACGAAAGATCTAATGGAATCAGCCCACCAAGAAGTTCAGTCCAGACTTCGCCAATGAAAACCAGAAACCTAACCTTGTCACAGCTGAGTGATCAGGACTGGCTGCTGCTTTGTGGCCAGGTTAGCAGTGTAGGAGATGATTCTCCGTCAGCGGAGAAAACCGGCTCCAGTGTGGGACATCCAAACCACAATGACAGGTGTGGTTGTTCCTGTCCTGAGGCACACCAACATCCAGAGGCTTCTAGTTTTCATCCTCAGTCAAAACAGGGCGCCGTCCAACAAGACTGTCTCTCCATAGTTTCAAACAAGAGAAGCCTTTCATCTCCACCGCACACCCAGCCTTTTCCCCAAACCACCCAAGCTTTGTCCACTTGCCAGGTTTTACCACAGCAAACAAACCAAAGGGATCTTTTGAAACCAGCAACGAACCATCCACAGGATAATTTCATGCTCCAATGCAGTGACCGAGAAGGTCAAAAGGAGCTATTGCAGCAACAGCCCTGCAATCATTTTAAACTTCATGACAGCAGCCAAGCAACTTTATTCAACATTCCTCTGAACTCCATTGAGTGTGTTGAGACGAATCAGAAGCTATACCAACACCCTCAGCCTGCCGTCACTGCAGACTTCAACTGGAGAGAGCTTTTTGGCAAAGAACCACTGTTAGTTCAGCAATGTCAAAAACAAGACTCTCATTGCTCGATGAGCGGTGATCAGACCTGCAAGTCTTCTGGAGATCCCTCCATCGTCCTCAAGTGTCGACATCTTCCTTGCAACCCTTTAACCAGCACTACGCGGGTACAGAGGTCCTCTACTCCAGCCAGTAACAAAAGTGTCCAGTCCTTCTCTACCAGCCAGTATAGCTCCCTTGAGAACCAGGATTTAGTGGCAAAGAGAGATAGACAGCGACAAAGTCAGGTACATGAATTTTCTTTAAATGCTGTTGCTTTCTGAGGGAGGGCATTTCCCCCCAAAATGTATTAAATCTTATGGAAATGTTTTTGTCAAATGGCAGCATTGTAACTGAATTACCTTTTTTTTAATTTTTTTTATCTTATAACATGTCTTGAATGACATCTTAGCAGTCTGTTAAGGGACAAGACAACAAAAGACAGTACAGTAAAGGAGAGAGTTATTGCAGTGCTGCAAGTTTCAAACAAGATTTTCTACCAAAATCTGAATTTAATTTCGGCAAGTCCAGTTCATGATTGTAAAGGTAAAATATATTTTCTTATTTTTGCAGTCCTGTGACTTTCAGCATATGGTATTTTGTCTGATTAATTACATTTCCTGTGCTGATTGTCTTGCTTTCTTTTGCAGAGAAACTCTCAGCACCTCAGTGGATCAAGACTCTCCCTCCCTAAACACACTCCTCCGCCTTCCTCCACCTTAGCTGGTGATATAGTCAACGGGGACGCAGTGCGACCGCTAAGCAGCCATGTTAATTTAAGATCCGGTCTTGCAGATCTCCAGTCAGGTCAACAGCCTCTTCCGATTCTTCACAGTGCCATCCTAGAGGACGCCTTCTCCAAAGTCATCAGAGAAGATTCCATTAAGGCCAACAGTGAGAACCTGACCAGAGAGGAAGGCAGCGTACCACAGAAGAAGACCAAGGACATTAGCTACCGGCTGGGTCAGAGAAAAGCTCTCTTTGGGAAGCGCAAACAGCTGAGTGACTACGCCTTGGTCTGTGGGATGTTTGGCATTATCGTTATGGTGATCGAGACTGAGCTGTCGAGGGGATTTTACAGCAAGGTACTGTAGTCCTCTTCAGAATCACTGTATTCATGAAGTATAACAGGTTTACAAAAAAGTTCACCTAACAGGAAAAAAAAGTCACGTCTGGGTGTCATCAAAACTGGCTAAACTCATTATGTTCATGTTTTTGTCTCCATTATTTACAGGAATCCATGTGTTCATATGTACTGAAAAGCCTGATCAGCCTCTCCACGGCTATTCTGCTTGGACTCATTGTGATGTACCATGCAAGGGAAATCCAGGTATTTGGACTTCATGCATACATGGTCCTAGGTTCCCTTGGTTAACCTTATTTTTATCCAGGAGAACCTAATACCGGGGTGTTCTTAGTACTCTGACTGGGAAAACTTGCCAAGTTAACCATGTGTTTCATCTGATTTGTATGACATCCTGGGGCACAAACGTCACCAGAAAATAGTTTTTAAAATATATTATTTCACAGTATGCAGTGGAAGATCTATTACCTCCGTTGGATGAAATGCCAAACCTGCCATCAAATGTTTTAAATAGAACAACACTTAAATAGTCATTTCACTACTTCATGCTGAGTTTTCGAAACATTTTACTGTGAACAAGAAACATCTCAATTGCATCAATGAAAAGTTCAATTCAAAATCTACAGTCCAAACAAATACATTTAGCATTAATATTCCTCTGCTTTTGAGGTCAGTTAGGTCCTTTACTACGCAGAATTCATCACCCTGAAGTCTCTCTACAGCTCTTCATGGTGGACAACGGAGCAGACGATTGGAGGATAGCGATGACCTTTGAGCGGATTCTCTTTGTTACGTTCGAGCTCCTTATCTGTGCCATCCATCCAATCCCGGGCCAGTATGTGTTCACCTGGACTGCTCGACTGGCCTTCAGCTACACAGCATCAGTGGCGGACGCTGACATCGACATCATCCTCTCTGTGCCGATGTTCCTGCGCCTCTACCTCATTGGCCGGGTCATGCTGCTCCACAGCAAACTGTTCACAGACGCTTCCTCCCGCAGCATCGGGGCGCTCAACAAGATCAGCTTTGACACTCGTTTTGTCATGAAGACGCTGATGACCATCTGCCCTGGCACAGTCCTGCTGGTCTTCAGTGTGTCCTGTTGGATCATCGCAGCATGGACCGTGCGTGTATGTGAGAGGTATCAGCTTCAGACTTCCGATCTTCTCACTCTTTCTTTTTTTCCCTGAGTACCCAGCAGTGGTGGAAAGTACATACATTTACTCAAGTATTGTACTTTAATTGAGTATTTCCATTTTTTCTGCTGCTTTATACTTCTACCCTACTACATCTCAGGGGCAAATATTGTACCCCTTACCCCAATGCGTTTAAGCAAAAGATTTAAGCACTAATTCCACCATTGGTAACCAATTGCATTGCTTCAATATCATAAGTTTGAACATTTTCAATGATATTCAAAAGGTGGATAACTAAAATCTGTGATAGTCTACTTGTAAAACATCTTGCTTGGTGTAACTGAGCAGAGACAGCCTTCAAGGTTTACGTCCAGGTGTCATGTGTCCATAGGTATCACGATGCACAGGAGGTGACCAGTACCTTCCTCGGAGCAATGTGGCTAATCTCCATCACCTTCCTATCCATCGGCTACGGCGACATGGTCCCTCACACCTACTGCGGGAAGGGGGTTTGCCTGCTGACAGGAATCATGGTGAGATTTGTACAGATACAGTAAAACCAGGCGTGTGGTGGAGGGTCATCCAAACATTCTTTGGCCTTACATTTTATAGTAAATCTCATCATTTGTAAATATATTTGTAAACCAATGCAAATTATATGAGGCAAAAATCAAAGGAAAAATAATATAAACATAACAAAGTTTTCTTATTTTTAACTGTTTACATAGCACTTGTCTGTTATACATGATTATTGTAGTGCCAAGGTTATGAGTTTCATCATCGTTTCTCTTAGGGAGCAGGCTGTACAGCATTAGTGGTCGCCGTTGTTGCAAGGAAGTCAGAACTCACCAGAGCCGAAAAGCACGTCCATAACTTCATGATGGACACTCAACTCTACAAAAAGGTCAAATTTATTGTACAATGTTGTTGTTATATTCACGGTTAATTTCAGTCTTTTTCTTTTTTGACCAAATTGTGTCAGTTTATGTTTTGTCTGATTTATATCTCAAAGAGCTTCACAGAAGAACCGAATCAACAAAATGATGTGATTCAGTAGACCAAAACAAAACAAAGCACATGATACAAACAGTACTAACTGTAACTGCTACTGGAAACAATTCAATAAATCCCTCTTTTGCACTTTTCTCCGTATGAAATTTGAATCCTCTTCAGGTAAAAAACACTGCAGCCAATGTGTTAAGGGAGACGTGGCTCATCTACAAAAACACCAAGCTGGTCAAGAACATTGACCGTGCCAGAGTACGCCACCATCAGCGGAAATTTCTGCAAGCCATCCACCAGTAGGTATATAATGTCATCCCCTGGGAGTGCAGAGTTAAAACAACAATAAACGTCATGTAGATGGGTAGTTACAGTTTGCTGGCATGTCTATTATTATATTTATTAAGGCCATGATTTCAGTTGTTTGTTTTATTTGGCACATATGTGACTTTGGTTATTATTCTCAATTTCAGACTGCGAAGAGTCAAAATGGAGCAAAGGAAACTAGCTGATCAGGCCAATACAGTTGCTGACCTTGCCAAGGTTTGTATATGCAGCACACTGCACATACATACTCGTATGTATGTGCAGTGAGTTAGACACTACAGAAGGCTGGTTTCATATTCATCATCTGAAGGGGGAAAGTGTCTCTGTGCTTCCCTTAAATATGTGTGCGTAAGAGCAGGATTTTGTTACATCTCAACTGGTTTGTAAGTCAATCGTGGGCCAATAGGAAACTTGCACAAGTGTGATATGGAAACGTGAAACCTCCAGTCCACATACACTAAGAGTGGACTTTTCAGTGAAGTAGGAATGGAAACATATTGGCAGATTCATAGATTCTGGATGTTTCAATGAGAGAGAATGTTTTTTTTACTTTTCTTGTCAAAAATAAACCCATTAGACAGATAATTAATGTTCAACATGCCTGTAGGAGATGTTTAAGTTTAATGGGATTGAAAATAGATCATATTGTTATAATCAAATACACAACCATAAAACATAACATGTTTTTGGTGAAGTTAAATCTTGAAACTTTCATAATCTGTTTGTAAAAAATATGGAGAGAGAGGTTCCCTGCTACACTTAACCCAATGTCTCTTAAAATGGACCACAACATCCTGTAAGGTCAGGCGTACACATTTACTCTCCTCCCTGTTGCTTCCCAGACTCAGAACATGATGTATGATCTGGTGTTGGAGCTTCAACATCGAAGTGAGGAGCTGGACAGGAGGATCGTAGCTCTGGAAGAGAAACTGGACTCCATCCTTCTCAGCGTGCAGTCGCTGCCCGTTGTGCTTTCTCAAGCAATAACAAAGCTACAGAAGGATTTCCTGGACGACTTGGCCTGTCGTGTCCACTTCCTGTCATCCTCCCTGAGCTCTGAGTGCTGTTCAGTCCCTGTCAGGCCGCTCTGTCAAGGACCCACCACACCAGAGACACCCTACAGCTCATAGCCCTTACACAATGGTTTTCTCTTTAGTCTGCAACTTTATTTCATGCTGAGAAGGATTTTCTCAACATGCACACTCTTTTTTTTTTTTTTTTAAAGTAGCACTCTGCTACACATTCATTCGGTTACACACATTCACCCCTGGGAGTTACAGCTACCGTCTCATACTGAGCAGCTCCAATGAAAAGGGAAGTGCCTCAGTCAGGGGATTCTAGAGGAAGGGAAGAGCATTATTCCTTTATTTCCTCTATTCAAAATTTCACTGTTAGACTGGGTTCTCACCTACACATGAGTCCATAGAGCCCGCTTTTTTCTCACTTCATTGGATCCATTGGAAGTTGATTTGTAAGCTATGGCTACATGGAGAATTACAATGTCATTGTCAATACAATATATGATTAAAATAGCTTGTCTTATACAGTCTCATTGAGTAATTCCTAAGCAGTACATGAGTAAATAATTTCCCCCCAATTGTTTGTTTGAGGACACAAATGAGCTCACAGACGCCATCAAGATAAGCTCTTCTTGTTTTCACTCTGTCTTGCCATATTCATTTCTGAAATGATACTCATCATTCATCATGACATCGTGGACCTGGAAAAGGTTTTTGACTGGTTCCTCTAATGAACTGGTTCTGAAAGAGATGAGAAAGGCTTCCCATTCATCTAAGAGTTGTTGTTTTTCCTGTTCCAGTACAACAATGTTTTCAGTTGCAGTTTACAGTAAATGAGGTTCTCAATTAGAGAAAAGTGACTTGTCATAGAGAAGATATTTTCTAATGTTTATGATTACTCTCAAAGCAATAATGGTCTGGAACCGGCTAAGATTTCATTCAAGTGTAGTCCCAGATGTTTAGACAAAACTGTAAGTGCCAAATCAACCTACACTAAGAACATTTTGCCTGAAGGTATAACATCCATTTAACACTGCAACTTGTTCATTTTAATACTCGTGTTCTTTACTCACATCCTTGTATTTTAGTTGTGCTCATTTAAGACTTAATTTCTGTCTGGTGATTGGCTGCTTCTTGTAACATTTCCCTGTTTAGGCCGAGTTAAGTATCTATTAAAGTTGTAAACTTGAAAAACATGCAATAGAAATTAAGTTAATTCATATTCAATAAATTATAAACATTATTTAAAGCTCTGAAATCTTGCTTTGTGTTTCACTAGCCGTAGCCTACACACCTTTAATACAGCATACTTTCAATATTTAAGAACTTGTAATTAATGTAGCAGCCACACAGTATTTTATTTCAGACTTATATTAATATTACAAAAAATAAAGATTTGTTTCCCAGAACTCTGTCATAGGTTTCTTTATGTTTCCCTTAGCAGGACTCTTCTCCTGGGGAATGTCATCGCACAAAATGTTTCTGTGTCTCAGGAAATCAGTATGGCAACCCTGCACCAACAGAAGAAATTGACATTACTATTGTTGTTGCTTAAAGTTGATAGTTGACACTAGAATGCCAGATAGGACTCGGACTAACATTGAAAGACCAGACTTGACCTGGGGATGATGTGGTCACATGGATCAGCACAAGGAGACCCCTACCACACGCACATTATATAACATTAGCCACTAAACAAATAGGAGTACAGATTTAGCAAAAGCAGGTGATGGAAGCAGTGTATTGCACTGTGTAGGTTATGTTGCAATTTTGCAAGGAAACACACACACACACACACATATATATACCCAAATACAGATCCTCCTCTTAGACTTACACCTGTTTATTTCCAATGCCCCAGTTTGAACTAAGTTGACCTCATTCACTTTCAGCTCCCGTCACACTGAAGGGGAGGACATTTTACACCATTACGCCAATCAAGGGGACTCCACATACACGTTTAAAATACGTTGACGATTCGTATGAAGAAGTAAACTCATTGTGTAACCAAATACCAAAGCAGTCACACACGAGACATGGTAAACAGCTCTATCAACGAGGTTGTTTACAAGAACTACCATCTGTCTCTCCGGGTTACTGGTTTCTAGGAGTCTTTCATAATCTCGCGATAAGTGTCCCGGAGGCGAGCTGCACCCACGAGAATGTCGTTTCGCGCGCTGAGGCTAAGCTCCAGTCATATTTCAAACTGACAGCTCTATTACCCAATGAACTCGATTTGCCAAGAGGCATTCGTCCAATGGCGAAGCTGTGTCTTTAGAGCAGGCGGGGTTATGAAAGTCTTGAAGAATAACTCATTGATCAATCTCCAACAAGCCATAGAGTTGCTCGTGCAAACCTCACTAAGAAGTTATTTGCGGAAAACCTGCGTGGTACTCCGTAAACGTCAATTTCGTGGTTTCACTTGGACGAACGAACAGGTACAGCAGCTTTTCTCTCATGTTTTAATAACTTTAAAAGTGTTGCTCATTGATATTTTTTTTATCAGTTGCTAGCTCACTATGGTTAGCTAACTTGACAAAGTCCTGCCTCGTTTCTGTTTTGGGTTCACGTTACTGCACCAAGTTTCCCAGCCAGCCAAATGTAGAACTCTGACTTAATCATACTATTTAGTCACGGGGACAGTATTCGTGATGTTGAATGTAGTGATTTCGTATCGCTAACGTAACGTTACCAGAACGCTCTGTAACAATAAGTTGTAACGTGGTTTGCTGTAACGTCAAGCATTGATGGGGGCTGATGAACTTGACGAGCTGTTATCTTATGTTGTTGATCTGTAGTCTAGCCACATATTGTGTAACACATGGTGGAATTAACATTAGCTTTGCCACCTCACCGCGACACACGAAACACAACAAACACGCTAACCTCAAATACTTCGCTTTATTCTCTTTTTTTTTTTTTTTTGTATTTTCCGCCTCGTGTTTTTTTTAACTGAATGCTGTCGGTGAAATAAAACTTCTTGGTTGGGAGGAAGTAGTTTGTTTTCGGTGTTATTACTCGTGCTCATTGGTGTTTTGGGTTTATTTGGGGCAAGCGGAGCGAACAACACCTCAGCTGAGAGCGCAGAAGTGAAAGACGAGCAGCCATCGAGCTCGCAGCGTCACTCCTCGCGAACAACAAAGCACGGTCTCTGTGGGCAAAGGAGGGTTTCAGCGTTACAATAATCGATTTCAAAGTGCGTACAATGTAATGTTTCGGTGTGTTTTATTGTCAGAGAGCGAGGGCACATTGTTTGCTAGCGCTCCCTCCCCTCCGGATGTGCTTGGTTTTAAAAGAACTGGGAGTGGCCTGCAGCTTCGTTTCCCGCACTGTATTTAAATCAGCTTGTTCCCTCCCTTTCTGATCCTCCGTTGAAGTGACAGCCTAGTACAACACTTCCACAATACACGGATCAAGGACGCGACATATTCATATTTAGTTAATTCTTTGACTAAAATTAGATTTAGACCATTAAAAGTAACCCACCTAATCTTTTTGATGAAGTAATTATCTGGAACCTCCGGTTTTGACAGTGTCTACAAAATGCTTTCAAAAATACTTAATCTAGGGTGTAAAAATGCCTTTGTGTGGATTGTAAGGTGAAAAAGTGGAAAATATTAATTTATAAATTTGGCCAGCTTAGTGTGAGGCTTGGCAGTCATAGTTGCAGGCTCACGATCGGTGAATCTGTATCGTCCATTACAAGGAAATAAAGAAATGTGTCTTTGACATGGTTCACGAGAAAACAATGGACACAGCAAAGTGAGTAAATGCAACAGAACATAAGCATTAAGAACCGGTTGAATTTACATGGGAATCCCAAAACTTCATAATTTTAAAACATCAAAATGATGATTGGCTACCCAGCAAGTCACACGTAGTGTTGTCTGATCAGCCTCAGATAATATCTGTATACAGTTATTGCATGCAAATAATCATGAATCTTTGCTAAATCCTTCTTAAGGCAAACAATAATAATTTTGGGTATTAATAATCCTGTTAAAATTCGCAATTGGCAGGCCAAATCTACGCTTTATTCTATTGCGGAATTGTTTTAAAATTGAAAACAAACTAAACTTCTGTGTTTCCTGCAGAAAATGTCAAAATCAAAACAAATTTGGATCGATGACAGACCAACCCATATGTTATCAGACATGGCCATAGTTATTTATCAAGCTTGATCAATGCTTTTTAATGCATGTTTTACTATTGTTTTGAAATATTTTTACAGTGGATGCAATGACACAAACGAATAGCCGACGAATCTTGTTGCTGTTGACGGAGTTAAACAATACTGGCTAGCTTACGTATGGTACCTGCTGGAGGTGACCAAATGATCCATTACACTAGAGTGATTGCTTAATGGGTCGTGCTTTGGCTGTTGACACAGGGCAGCTGCAATGTGGATTCAGGTGCGCACGATGGATGGGAAGGAAACCCACCAGGTGGATTCCCTGTCGAAACTCACCAAGGTGGACGACCTGCGTCTCAAAATCGCAGAGCTCTTCAAGGTGGAGCCTGAGAGACAGAGGCTGTTCTACCGTGGCAAGCAGGTGAGGAAGCATGGTTAAAAACTAGTTCAGAGATGTGTCCTTGATGCTGCTCGTGGTATTTGTGTCCCAGTTCTCCAATATATGAGCATTTTAGGAATGTAACCGTATAGGAGGGATATCGGTGATGGTCGTAGCTCATTCATGATATCTACTTTAACATTTACCTGTGTGCTGCCTTTCTCCTCTTTAACCACGTCTTACTTTTGTTTTGGTTCAGATGGAGGATGGCCATACCTTATTCGACTACAACGTGGGTCTAAACGACATAGTGCAGCTGCTTGTTAGGCAGAAAATGTCTGCTGTGGATGTCGTCAAAAGCAAAGACAAAGAAGCCGAGCTTTCCGACTCTGATTCTGGCTGTGGCTCAGCCCAGAGCGAGTCTGACAAGAGCTCAACTCACGGTGAGGTCGAAGGTCAGACCGCCGGCACCTCTGCCCAGACGAACACCACAGAGCTCGTCGATCCGGGGTTCGGATTTTACAAGGTTTGTTTTAAGGCTGGAAGTTGGGATTAAATTGGGTGTTTTTATATTTTGTGTTTGCAGGTTACTTTTGCTTTGTGGGGAGGGGAGAATCAAATACTTCTATGCGTCGCATGCTACAACAGGGTTGGAAATAAGCATCAACATCATCAAAATACAAACAATATTTTCATTGGGTCTGTAAAAATTGTTGCGTCTGATGGAATAATGTTGTTACCTAGTAGCCTATGCGGCTAGTCTATTGTCTAAGAGTGTGTGTGAGTTACTTCTAGTAGTGCAAGACAAAAAGTTCAACAGAAGTTTGTCACACACAAGAACAATTACAAAAAGAAGAAAAAATAACCTTTTTAGAATCCACCAGCCACTTTTACTGGAAGGAAAAAGCTCATTTTCTAAACTGCAACAATATGAACTGTTACACCGCTGAACGGCATGCTGGGTACAGCTCGTGCTCTGTCGATGTTATTGTGAGCTTTTGCACCCAAATGTTGGAAAGACTCTAGCGTGTGTATCTCTTTAAGAACAGCTATGAACACTTTTGATTTCCGAGGTTGTCGGAGAACACGTTGTGCAAACTACTGCTTTTTTCTAGTATAACCGAACCGTGAGCTGCATCACTGACCCATCTGTATGACACCATGTGACGCTGCTGAATTCTTCGTTAAACTATACATGCAAGTTATTTTACAGTACGAGCTGTTTTTGTTTGTTTAACTTGGCTTTACCATGATAGTGCAGGGTAATGAGTTTGTGTGCATGACCACAATAATAACTGAAGTATAAAAACACAACTCTGTAGTTTGGCACGTCTGTAAACGTGCTGTTGGTTAGTTTCGTTGGGCATTCAAACCGAACTGAGATGGCTGTTCATTCAGTGAACACTTCGCATGAATATACAAATGTGGGTGATTTGCATGAAGTGGGGTTGTAGTTGCTGGAATGTGTTAGAGCCTCCTTTTCTTCCCCCAAAGTCTTATAGACGTAAAAAATGTGTAATTTTCCATTCTGTAGTGTATGTTAGGATAACGGCGTGACGAGATGTGAGAACTTCAGGCGAGCCATTTTGCAATAACAAACATTCATAGAACCCTTAATGAGATTTTTTTTGGGTTGTTACTAAATACGGTGAAAGCAATTAGTACAATGTCTCTGAAGATCTTTCTTTTCTTTGTCTTTTAAGATCAATGAGCTGGTGGATGCAAAGGACTTGAACATGGGTGCTTGGTTTGAGGCCCAGATCGTGAATGTTACGAAGACAACAAAGACTCCCAAAGAGGAGGCCGCTGAGGCGCAGTCAGCAGAAGAGATCCTGTACCATGTTAAATATGAAGAGTAAGAATCCTTTTTTCTGTTGCTCATGTGTTAGGGATGTCATGATTTTATTGATACAATCTTTTTGGCATTAATAGTTTTAATTGTGTATTAGAGGGCCGTAATTCCCTCTCTTGTATCAGACGGGACACTTCACAGTGTAACTGTATTCTCTCCGCTCTAATAATGTGTAAATATTAGAGGAATTGTAGATGAGAAGGCACTGTACTAATTTAAAACAACAAACACCATTTAGGCAGCATGAGTTGTGCACTTTCATTGGAGTTGAAATAAGATTCTGTTTTTCTACTACTTCTGTAAAACGACCACTTCCTGCTGGAGCTTCACATAAAAGGCTGCACGACGGATCCTTATAGAATGACACAATTTATGGTTCAAAGACTTGAAAACTTACTAAGGAAGGCAGTAGCATTGCCTTTTGAAATCTTAATTGTGGGACTAAAATTGACTTGAAATTAAACTATCATTCAAGAGGTGTTTTTTTTTTTTTTTTTTTTTTTTTTTTTTTTTTTTTTGGGCATCTATGGCCTTTCCCCTGCCTGAAAGGTGCTTGTGTGAGTATGTTTGAGGAACGTTCCTCTGAGTGCACCGGCAGTTGATCCTCACCATTCAAAACATATTTGTGTTCATTGGGTTGCACTCCCATGCAGCACTGTGTAGGAAGCACCTGTGATGGTGTGTGTGTGTGTGTGTGTGTGTGTGTGTGTGTGTGTG